GAGAGACGCGGAATGAAATTGTTATTTAATGATTTAACACACATTGTCCGCATAATTATAAGGTCAAGGTAATCTTGGCCGGGTCTCCTCGTCAAGGAAACATGACAGCTCGTTCATGCTGCTGTATTTCATCACGCTTGGACGAAGTTTCACTTTTCTTTTGGATTGTACGTGAACTAATTTCGTTGACCGTGTGTAGTGAACCACGTTTCAAATTTTTACACGAATTTTTTTCAATATGTATCAGTGAATATTACTTCCTGTTATTGCATCTTGATGTCAATTTCTTTCTAATGTTACTTTTCAATCATTCATATGTTTACAGTTGTAATCTTGATATATATATATAATTTAGGAAAATATCATACAAAATTAAAATGTTTTCTACTTGTTAATTTGTTATATTTAATTCTCCATATTGTAAACACAACAAAGAACCATTTTTTATAGGAAGCATTACTTCAATCGCACGAGACATTCAATTTGAATACTTTTGTAACTCTAATGGGAAGGAAATGAATTTCTGTCGTTGCTACATTTTTCGGAGTTAATATTATTTTCAAATTGCTCAAATTGCCCGACATCTCGTACTTATAATACAGAATTAGAAACTGTTTTACCGATAGTCGGCAGTGACAGCTCCATTTTGCACGCCCTTCCGCATAACTTTAAATTATTCCAACTTTAAAGTAGCAGAAGAACGACGAAACACTTTTTATTCGAGTGAATAAAGTTCAGGACCGCTCCGACGATTTTATTTGGTTCGCATTTATTTTCTCTGTGTTCCCCAGTAACGGTGTTAGCTAGTCGAAATAGTGTTTGCTCGCGGAACGGGGGATAGGAAAAGAAAAATGGCAGCAAGGGGGCTCGTGAAGCGTAACAGTATCTTCGATGGCGGACATTTATCTGGTATTACGATCAGAGCCAACGGGTAACTGCAAAAGAAATAACATTTTCTGCCAAACGAGCTGTCGATCGCAGCATACTGAGATCGTTATGCCGCGTTCCTTGTCGTTGGATCTTCTTACGATCCCGCTTCGTGGAAAGCCTGTTTTTTCCCTGTCAAGTGTCGATTACCTTGGATAAATGAGTCTGGAGCGATTGAAAACATCTCCGGAAGCCTGGGAAAAGTTCAAAGCACCGGATGCTCCGAGATTTAAGAGAATCAGTTCGTTATTAAAACTGCGCTGCTTCGAGGCGAAGTGTTTTTACATTTAGAACGTGTTTTGTGGTCATGTCATTTCACATTTCACAATTTTATCTATGAAACTATTTAAATTACGAACAATTAAGGCTCTCTTGTCTTAATTGTGGTTACACTTTTCAAAATTCTCACTTTCGATTCATCACGCTCGAATTTCTATTAAAAAAGACGTATATAACTGGATTAAATTTTCAGAAAATTAAGTTTACGAACCGTCGTCTGTGAAACTGAAATCTAAGGAAAAAAGGAATTACATGTACTGCAACACGTCGTAAATTCTTTCACGTGGCGAACACTTTACGAGTAATTTCAACCCTTTACGATCGGCGCATTTCTCTGCTGGTATTACCAACTCGTCGAAGCAAGTTTATATTTAAACCTATTTCTTCACAGGTGATGTATAAAGAAATATTAAAATAATGCGAATATTAAAAAGCTCCAATTATTTCGAAGCAAATACGTTTTACTGAATATTGCTTCCATTGCCAAATAAAAAATCTCAAATTCTATGGTTTTCCAAACTATAGATCATAATACATATAACAACTCCTTCGAATACAAATTTCTACACTGGAGCTATCAAGCACTTAAACTTTTCCAAACTTCTTTACAGGAATTTAATCTAATAGATACTTTTATAAATACCTCTATTATCTTCAGCTACAAATCAATAAAGCGCAATATAACTTAATTCGTGAACAGTTCAGGCCGCCCAAATACGAATTAACACGTGACTGGTCAATAATATGTTAAAAGGAATCTATTGGGGATATGGTAGAGACTACGCTGTTAAAATTATGAAGAGCTCCCCGATGTTGCAATCATCCAATGATCATTAGTTCCAGTGTTAAACAAATCGCGGAAGGTCGAACGTTTTGCTTTCCGTCCGGGAAACACCCTGTAGATCGTGTTCCGCCCCCATCCCCAATAATTTCCGTGATAATCCGCCACTTCCGCGGCCGCGATCTCGCGATCGTTCGAGACAACGGCACGGCCGGCAGATAATCGATTCACCGCACCGGTAACGAGGATCTGCGGGCGATTTGTCGAGATCGATAAAGCGCGGCGATAAGCCGCGAGAGAGTGTCCAGAATCGCAAGGACGTGTCGGGCGAGATGGAAAGATTAAGAAGTGGAACAAGAGCCGAGGACAGTTTTGCAAACGGGCCGTCTCCAAGGGTAACTCTTCGAGCCGTGAGCCGACTATAGGGACAGGTTATGTGTACCGATCGCCATTAAGATAAAAAGCCGGTTGCTCCTTCCGCGACCACGATTTCGCTGCTCGTTCAACAAACTG